TTTCTTTCTTTCTTTCTTTCTTTCTTTCTTTCTTTCTTTCTTTCTTTTTCTTTCTTTCTTTCTTGCCTATTTAAGAATATAATGCTACATAATAACATTCCAAAAAAATTTTCAAGAAGACAAAAGAGAACCTGCAACCCAGATACATGCCCTTAACCGGAATTGAACCCAACACCCTTTGTCGCATGGGCCGATGCTCTAACCCAGCCGTGGGCAAACTACGGCCCGCGGGCCGAATCCGGCCCATTTGAAATGAATAAAACTAAAAAAAAAAAGACCGTACCCTTTTATGTAATGATGTTTACTTTGAATTTATATTAGTTCACACAAACACTCCATCCATGCTTTTGTTCCGGCCCTCCGGTCCAGTTTAAGAACCCATTGTGGCCCTCGAGTCAAAAAGTTTGCCCACCCCTGCACCACTGAGAACACCGACCAGAGCAAAAATGCCATTATTGATATGAGGACTGATTATCATGACATAAAACTTAAATAAATGTCACTCATAATCCCATCACCTGAACACAGCTGTTTTTAGGTAAGTATATTTTTTCATTTGGCTTTTGCTGCATTTATTTAAGTTTTATGTAGTGATAATCAATCCTCATATCAATAATGGAATTTTTGCTCTGGTCGGTGTTCTCAGTGGTTAGAGCATCAGCCCATGCACCAAAGGGTGTTGGGTTCAATTCCGGTTAAGGGCATGTATTTGGGTTGCAGGTTCAATCACTGGCCCCAGTTGGTGCCTGTGCAGGAAGCAACCAATCTCTCTCTCTCTCTCTCTCTCTCTCCCTCTGTCCACCCCTTTCCTCCATCCCTTCTAATCTCTCTAAAAAATCAATGGAAAAAATATTCTTGGGTGAGTATTAACAACAACAAAAAATAATAATGGAATTTATGCTTTCACTCAATGGCTTATCAATATTTGCCATGTTTTACAGTCATCTTTCATTTTTTTCAAAATATGTAGGTTTTGTGTGTGTGTGTCTGTGTGTGTTTGACAGCCATCCTCTTAATGACCATTTTGAAAAACTGCCTCAGAAACTAACTCTTCTATTGTAGACCTTATAATTTTCCTTCTTAAAATCATCGGCCCCTCTTCTATTACTCTCTGCTGTTAATGGTTTATGCATTAAGTGGACACAGCAAAGGAGCAGCCAGTTTTGACAGAAGCTTTAAAATCTCTCCTTTGGAGGGCAACATCTTGAATTGTAGTCTATCTCTTACTCCCTACATCTAATCAGTCAGCAAATCATGCAGCTTTTTTAAAAGTTCAAATTCAGAACTCACATCTAGCCTTTCCTTGACAACCACACAGCCACTACCCTGGTGCAGGACCTTAATATATCTTGCCCACTATTAGAGCAGTTTCCTTATTTTCTAATTGTCCATTACCCACCAGCTATACTCCATACTGCTGTCAGTGTGATTTTTCCTAAAGTATGGTTGCCATCATGCCACCTTCTTACTCTGGTTTCACATTGCCTCAAGAATTAAGTCCAAACCCACAGGCTCCCTACTTTAATGCATTCCAGCCAAAAAGGGTCATTTGCCATTGTGAACTCAATAGGTGTTTCCTCGTGTCTTTCTTTTTTTGCTTATGCCATTTGCTCTGTTACTGCTGCTGGTGGTGGGGCTTTTTCCAACTCTGTCCTTTCAGCACCAGTTTAGCTCAAAAGTTACAAGTAAGTTTTCCTTGCTTGGTGGTTTGATACATTCAATTTTGTTTATATTGCTGTTCTTATCCCATCTTGCCTATTAAATGTAGTTACATGTACAGTCTCAAACCACCAAGTTACAAGCTCCTTGAGGGAGGAGACCCTGCCCTGTTTGTCTTCCCTACCTGCTACCAGTCCTAGAACACAGTAGGTGCTCAATAAATGTGTTAGTTAACTTGAATTGAACTGGCTTGAATTGGATGAAGCATAGTGGAGGGTATACCATGAGGGTCAATGAGATACAGAGGATGCTATACTAGTTGCCTTGAGTAAATTAATATGCTAAGATAGAGACCACATTCTAACAGAAATGGGGTTAAGAAGGGAAAATGAGGGTAAGGAGACCTGTCTAGAAGGGCAAAATCTCTGCCTTGACTCTTGGTTCACTGGACATTGCCATGCCCCATTGCAGGCTTTCTTGCCTGCTTATATTTCCTTTCTAAGAGCAAAATTTTCTTCACTTTACAAACACTGGGCTTCCTCCTTTGCTGTCTCATCCAGGAGGCTGAGAGTGGGCAAAGAGGGGAGGTATGCCAAAGATAAACCCCAATCCTTCACCATTTGCTTTAAGACTATTCTGGCCTCATCTTCCAATGAGATAATTTCTTGTTCCTCCCTCCTCTCTTTTTCAGCTCAATCAGTATGGATACTGGCAAATCTCAGTGGGAAAAACCAAAGTTTAAACAATGCCAATTGCTGCGAGACCTTCCTGATAAGATTGTGGATCTTGCTAATATTACTATCAGTGATGGTAAGACTGTTATGTATACAGAGAAGAAATAATGGAACCTCAGTTAGTCTACTTGATCTGAGATCAGAAAGAGAACAGGGAAACCTCACATAGGAAAACCTACCTTACAAAAATCTAGTCTCAGAAATTAGGTAGTCCATGTTGGTTCAGGTAAGAGTGGAGCACAACAAGCTAAGACTATCAGTGCTTTTTGTTTTATAATTTTTATTTTATTTTAAAAATTTGGCTAATTATTATTTTTAATTTTATTTTATTTAAAAAACGTTTGAATAGATAATACTTCACATAGTTTACTATTGAAAAAACACAGAAAAATACAGTGAAATATCTCCTTTCCAGAGCCGTTCAGTTAATATCCACAGAGATATCTTATGAATCTATAAGGAAATTTATATATGTGTATGTATATGTACACATACACGATACATACATGTATATTATCCCTCCCCTTTGTACAAAAAGTGGAGCATGCATACATGCTGCTCTGAACCTTGCTTTTTTCTCTTAACAATATATTGAAGAAATTATCATATTAGTATATGAAGAGCTTTCTCATTCTTTTTTCCATGGCATTGTAGTATACTGCATATATTTCTTTAACATTTTCCAATTGGATGGGCATTTAAGTTGTTAATAACATTTTGTTTTTTAAAGCTGCTGTAATGGATATCATTTATATGTCATTTTGTATAAATTGGGTATTATTGAAGCATAAATTCCTAAAAGTAGAATTGCTGGGTCAATCATACTTTTGATGGTGTCAAAATGCTCTCTGTAATAGTTGCATCAATTTATACTCCCACTTGCAAGGCATGAAAGTGCCTGTTTCAGAATCCTTTCATCAACACAGCATGGTATCAGACTTTTGTATCTTTGGTGATTTGATAAGCAGAAATTTATATATCGATGTACTTTAAAAAATTTTATGGAGACACTCAAATATAATAAAATTCACCTATTTAATGTGTACAATTTTGTGGTTTTTAGTATATTCTCTAGATTGTGCAATCATGGCTACTAATTCCAAAACATTTGAATCACTCCAAAAAGAAACTTCCATACACATTAGCAGTCACTCTTTATTTCCCTTTCCTTTCAACCCCTGGAAACTTCTAATCAACTTTGTTTCTTGCTTAATTTTATTTCATTTTTTGTAGTAACAACACATAACATGAGATCTACCCTTTTGTTAAATTTTAAGTGTATAATACATGACTATTGGCTATAATAGGTACAATGTTGTATAACAGATCTATAGAACTTATTCATCTTGTTTAACTGAAATTTTATGCCTGTTGATTAAGAACTCCCCATTTCTTCTTCCCTCAACCCCTGACAACCACCATTCTACCCTGTGCTTCTGTGAGTGCAACTATTTTTTAGATTTCACATAAAGTGAGATTATGCAGTGTCTGTCTTTCTGTGTCTGGCTTATTACACCTAGCATAATAGTCTCAAGGTCCATTCATGTTGTTGCAAATGGCAAGATTTTCTGTTTTGCGGTTGAATAATGTTCCATTATATATACATCACATTTTTTTCTTTCTTTCTTTTTATTTTTAAAAATATGTTTTTATTGGTTTTTTTTAGAGAGAGAGAAACATCGATGTGAGAGTTAAAAATTGGTTGCCTCCCATACACACCCCAACTAGGAACTGAACTCACAACCTGGGCATGTTGCCTCCCCAGGAATTGAACTGGTGACCTTTGAGTGTATTGGAGGATGCTCAACCAACTGAGCCACATCGGGCAGGGCTACCCATTTATTTCTTGATGTACACTTAGGTTGTTTTCATATCGTGACTATTGTGAATATTTATATACTTATTTTAATTCTCACCCGAGATATGTTTTTATTGATTTTAGTGAGAAAGAAAAGGAGGAGAGAGCGAGAGAAACATCAATGTGAGAGAGAAACATTGATTAGTTGCCTCCTGTATGTTCCCTGACTAGGGATCAAACCCACAACCTGGGTATGTGCACTGACCAGGAATTGAACCTGAGACTCCAACCAACTGGGCCACACTTGTCAGGCACAGATATCTATTTAATATAGTGATTTGATTTCATTTCCTTTAGATATATACCCACAAGTGGGATTGCTGGATCATATGGTAGTCTATTTTTAATTTTTTAGGAAATTCCATACTGTTTTTCATAATGGCTGTACCAATTTACATTCCCACCAACAGTGTATAAGGGTTCCCTTTCCTCCACACCCTGGCTAACACTTATCCCTTGATAGAAACAATAGCCATTCTGGAAGTTATGAAGTGATATCTCATTGTGGTTTTGATTTGCATCTCCTTGATGATTACTGATGTTGAGCACCTTTTCATATATCTGTTGGCCTTTTATATGTCTTCTGAGAAATGTCTGTCCAAGTCCTTAGCCCATTTTGATCAGTTATTTGTTTTTGCTATTGAGTTTTAGTTTTTGTATAGTTTGGAGATTAACTTGTTATCAGATATATGTATGGTTTGCAAATATTGTATCCCATTGTGTATGTTGACTTTCCACTCTGTTGATTGTTTCTTTTGCTGTCAGAAGCTTCTTTTTATGTTATCCCAGTTGTTTATTTTTGTTGTTGCTGCTGTGCTTTTCATCACATATAATAAATATCAATGTCATGAGCTTTTGACTTATGTTTTCTTCAAGAAGGTTTAGAGTTTCAGATCTTACATTTGAGTCTTAAATCCATTTTGAATTGATTTTTGTGTATGGTGTAATATAAGGGTCAATATCATTGTTTTGCCTGTGGATATCCAGTTTTCTCAACACCATTTGTTGAAGAGACTATCCTTTTCCCATAGTGTATTTTTGGCACCCTTGTGGAAGATCAATTGATGGTATATGGGTGGATTTATTTCTAAGCTCTCTATTCTGTTTCTTTCTTTTCTTTTTTACTGTAGTCTTTTATTTTTACTTTTAATTTCTTTATTGATTAAGGTATTACATATGTGTCCTTATCCCCCCATTACCCCCCACTCATGCCCTCACCCCCCCCCTGTTGTCTGTGTCCATTGGTTAGGCTAATATGCATGCATACAAGTCCTTTGGTTGATGTCTCCCCCTTACCCCCACACTCCCCTACTCTGAGGTTTGACATTCTGATAGATGATTCTCTGTCTCTGGATCTGTTTTTGTTCATCAGTTTATGTTGTTCATTATATTCCATAAATGAGTGAGATCATGTGATATTTATCTTTCTCTGACTGGCTTATTTCACTTAGCATAATGCT